GGTAGAGGACCCGAGCTGAATGAGGGATGGACACCACCCGAGGGGTGAGACAAGGATTTTTTATATATATATAATATATATTTTTTTTTAAACAAAAATTAAATTACTATGTTCACATTGCAGGTCAATACAGATTTATGTATCTGGTGTTTTCATGCAATGTGAAGAGTACAATTCCGATTCAAAACCCACCCGGGCTCTTTCAAAGGTGTATATAAATTGGATATGTATCCAATTAGTCTGAAGTCAGAATACTCAGGTCTCGCTCGTCCGGCCTACAATTCCTCAAATGTTAAATACGCACTGCTTGTTTGTGAGACCACTCACCATCGTTTATTTGACGTGAATCAAATCTCACTTGAAACAAAGTATAAAATTGATATTTGTGGTGAGAGTAATAATACAGCCAAACAGACGGTTCTTTTGTGACTCGCGTCCATGACGTGATGTCATCTTTAGTACAGTAGATGTCTCCAAATGAAGACGGTGATGATCAATCATCTCATTTCCCCAAAACTTTTCTTCCTCCTCCCAACTCGCATTCTCCTTGTGACCTCACTGGAATTTCTGGTGGGAGGGACTAACATGCAAAGAGGGGCGCAAGGAGGGAGGAAGTTGCAAATACAGAAATGAGACGAACCCCAACATGCTTGGCCATATTCCTTAAATACTGTGCCATGTGATGTTGTGTTCTGCGCGCAAGTGGGTTAGTCGACATTGTATTTTGTGCGCATGCGTATTGCTTCATGGACGTAATCCCACTTGCATTTGAGGCTAGATTTGATTCCGTAACGTGAATGACTGCAGTAAAAAGATCGACCTTAAACATTTCTGAGTTGGACATCATGTCCTACAGTGTGAATGTAGCCTGTCGATACTATTGAGCAGACCCTATTTGGCATATTCTCATGTGATTTATATGCAGCCTAAACATAACAAAAGTAGTTCTCAAGAGTTGTCAAACTGTGATTCGGGATTTTCCATCTGTTGCAAAGTCACGACCCACGTTTATAGATGTTAAAAATAATGAACAGTTTTTGTTTAAAAATAGCACTTTCAATATACAATGGAGTGTGTTGTATTTTCAAACACTGTTTCAAATGAATTTTATGTATATGACTGCCAAAAGCAAATTGCTTGCCATGTCTGCTAGCCTGAGGCTGATCTGAACAATTTTTTCACAAGGTAAGCTTGTGGCTAAAGTGTGAAGCAGCGTTCTTGTCGCTCCACTAATATGCTCCATGTGTGAACTTGGTATGCATCTGTAGTGTACCAGAAAAATACCAATATAAGAATATTTGCATGTTTTTTACGACCTGTACGCGACCCACTGTTTTGTCATGACCCACCAATTGAGCACCACCGTCATGGAAAATGTTTGTGCAATGTTTTGCAGACAAACAACAGCTGTTGTTCAAAATCATTCTAGTACATAAATGTTGTGGGAAGCACAGTATTTTTGGAGGATATCAAATTATTATCATCTATTTATTTTCCAATCTCACTCACCTCTAACGAATTGCTGACCAAAATAAGGAGCGTTTGAATAAAGTCCACCCCTGTTGTTTTTGGTAGCATGCAGTCATGTGAGAACTGCGACTACCGCGTCATCATCTCAGAAATCTTGCTTATGTGTTGTACACACGGAAATGCAAGGAAAATGTTTTGAGCTTACTGTATCAACTTTGGGACCTGATTTATATAAAGATAATTTTTGGGTTCCCAAAAATGCCAGCTCTGATTGAACCAAACATCCAAATGCCACAACAACCTTTGTGGATACACCGAAATACATTTGCGTATACAGTGCTGGCTCTGTTAACAGGGAAACCTGCAAATCTGGCATAACTATGAACTTTAATACTCGAACTATGTCAAACTAAAAAAGTGGTCTCTAAAGACCGGAACGCACCTATCGATGACATCCCTTGCCCGTAAAGATTGCCTCATTTCACAGGAGGAGTGAGACTAATAAACTGTTTTGGCACGAGGCGAGTGAACAACCGATTGGGATTGACTGATTGAATGATGGATTACATGCAGTATCCAACAACTAACAACGGCAGGCAATAACAACAACACCCTATCGTTTACCACCCCCAGGAGACATACGGCATAGATAGGGAGACTCCCGACCTAAAAATTGAAAGGCTTTTTGGATTAAATGTGAAATGTCTTTAGTAACCAAGAAAGAATGCAGCTGCCTCAATTCAACCTTTGCGGATTGTGATTTGTGTGGTATTATTGTGATCAGATGATTGTGAATTTCACAGAGGCGGGCATTTTCAGACCAGTGAGTCCATCTAAGTCATTATTTTTTTCTGTATTTGGCTGCGTGTCAGGTATGCTGCACCGGTGTGTGACGGAGTACCGGTAAATCCGTTCTCAACACCTCTGGAATTTATAAATGTTTTCGAGTACAATTTTAAACCACCAGGCGCAGAGAAATACAATTACTTCAAAGTGTGGCGTTGTACGACATACCGGTAGTGTGTATTCTAACTGACCAAAACTTGGGAACGCATCTGTGCATTACTACACACTGGGATAAAGTGACTATACAGTCATGCTCAGAATTTCACAAGGCATCGCAACAGTGCTTGCATATGATGTTGTCTGCAAATACAGCAAGGCTGCACAGTGAGCTTCTTTCACTATAATTCTAATGGCACATAAAATAAATTTAAGATAAGATACCACTGTAGTCCATCTTAAAAATCATGCTTCATTAAACACAGTCTTCGTCATCCAAAGTTCAATTTACAGCCACAAGCTGCTTTGACGTTGCACAATGAATGCAAGAGTGATTTTGCAGTGAGAAAGCTGCCGCCATCAAGTATGATGGCTCAGTAGAGTGTAATCATGATATAATCACACATGGTATCGGTTGCAATCAAAAGTTTGTGACTTTTTGATTACATGTTGGAATCAGATCTTACCATTTCACCGCTGCTTCCTCTTGGACCTCGCGGCCCCTGTAGAAATGGAAAATAAACACAAATGGCAAAATCAAATAACACTGCATCTCGTTCATACAAGATTTAAACATAAAATCCATCTGCAAGGCAAAACATAATAAATTAGTTATATCAATCATAATCACCTACATGTTTTCCCATTGGGCCCATCTTTCCTTCAGGCCCCACTGGTCCAGCGAATCCCTGAAACAAGTTGGTCTTAAACATGGCTTACCTCTTTTTATGCAATGAAAATTTTCCCAATACTTGTGGTTACAACATAGGCTTTCTCAATACAGAGTCAAAACAGGGTCTATGAACAGTATTCTCCATCTATTAGCTCTTGTTGTGACGGTATACCTGTATGTCAATATCTTGGTGTGAGTTTCATATTTTTTGCACAAAACTTACCAGAGTACCCATTGGGCCCTTCGGACCAAGGAAACCTTTCAATCCCACATCACCACTTGGACCCTAAGGCAAAAGAGAATACTTCATGTTATATAAATCTCGACAGAGATAAGAATTTTGCAGTCTGAACAAGTTGATCACATCTTTTGTACTTCCATGGTTGAGTGGATTTTTTTTTTTTTTTACCTTTGGACCTGGAAAGCCCTGCAAACCACGCATCCCTTGATGACCTGGTTCCCCCTGGCGAAATAAGATTCATATCTAAATAATGAGGGATTTTACACATTTAAAAAAAGGAGCGTACATATTAGTTTGCATATGTCCTGATTTTCTTTTTTTCTTTTTTTTACAAGGCCACCACCAACCCGTTGGAAACATCGTATGCTGACCTTTAAACAACCTCTCTGCATTTTAAAATAAGTAGGGCACATGGAGAATGGTTGATGTCTGGATCAACACAAGTCCCAGCCAAAATTCACTACGCATACAACCACGCACACACTCATACGGGGGTTCGGTGCCTGCACCCAACTCTGTCTGAGGTCTGTCTGTCTGTCGTCCAGGGTGGCAGCCACAATGTTTATCCAGCAAGTCATCCACATCCTCGAGACAGATCAATTTTCGAGCCAACAACGTTGGCCAAGCAACTCTATTCACGAAACAGTGAAAAAGGATCTGACCCGAGGGCTGAAATCTGCTCTCTGTTACATTAACATCAATGGAGAAAACGAGGGAAGAGAGAGGAGAGCAAAGGAATGAATGTTGTTTTTTTTTTGAGAAGTTACATAAGAAAAGTGGAGCACCTTTTTTTCGGGTCTCTGGAGTGTGAGGATCTTACATAACTTGGCCTTACCAAGAGAAATTCCATCTGAGGTCTTCTCAAGATTTTTTTTGAATCCATTTAGGATGGAAAAGTCTCAAGCGCATTTTTTTTTGCCTCGTTAATATTTGAGCCCCAAAAGCTATATTTAGAGCGCGCTTTTACACCATGTACAGTATATGGAAGTAAAACATTTGCAATGTAAAACACACACACACACACACACACACACACACACACACACACACACACACACACACACATACACAAAATTGCTTTCACATATACTGATTCAGTGTCAACTCATTCAACAATAAAGGTGTACATGCTAATTCTTTGTTTGTATCAGCTGACTGTATGATTACACTTAGCCTCGAAACAGACTGAGTTTATCTGCTTGTCTCACTTAATCTGATAAATCAAATTACGTTATGGCGTACATACCATTCATTAAAGTGACTTACAGTATTGTTGCTTTAGCCATATTACATACATGGCAATGGCGAGTGATGAAAAAAGCGGAAGGGGCGTGGCCTGGATGGGGGCGTGGCCTGGACGGGGCGTGGTTACTTACAAAAGTGGCACTAAACATGCTGAAGATGAAGTGTATTAAATTTACACGGTTTGAAAATTGAACAGAAAAAAATCCCAAGATCGCCACTATTCTTTCAAGTGAAAATTTGTGCAATTTTGCCTATGCATTCCTGGTGAGTACCAATATGTAACTCCAAATTTGCTGCTCAAAATCAAAACTAAAAAAGTAAACACATTCCCTGCCATATTTAAGATTTGTTCATGACTTGTATTCATAAAGTGTTGTCTAAATGTGATAAAAAGCTGTTGATTCTTACCTCATACAGTGATAGTGAATATTATGCATACAATTTATTATGCATAACCGTGCTTTATTATCCAAGACAAAACGTGAATTATCAATATGAATATAAAACGCAAATAAAAACAAATAAATGTTATCATGCTGTTGCTACAAATGCATACCAAATAAAATTGAA